CACTATTTAAACAAAACTTTTTTTGGAAATACTGATCTGGGTGTCTCCCGCCATACCGCTTTCTATGTGCAAAACGTGCTTATGTTTGTATGTTTATTAAAAAACAAATGGTGCAATAATCATTAATTGTCAATTTTGTCATTAAATACTACACCAAAATAAATAGCACCATAAAATTTCTTGTAAAAAACTGGTTATTATGAAGTTATTTTAAAATTTGTAAGTTCAACCGTTTCCTATAGTGAACAAAATAAACAAACTTCCTCTTTTATATATATATAGATGGGTTCTTGTAAGGCTTTCACATGAACATCCAACTTTTCACCTTGCTCTGTATATTAAAAACATGCCTTTATAGAGTTTTTCTAATTTATTGTAATGTCACTCATATTTATATTTCCAATAATAGTGTAGAAAAACTAGACATTTGATTTGTTTTTTCAACTTGTTTATCAGGAAAGTTTGTTTTTTTTTATCCATAACTAGTTTAATCTTTGCTGATGAAACTAATTTGAATTTCTTTTCACTAGTTCTTCACATTCTGAAATAGCATGGTAAATTACAATGTATCAATTTTTATTTTTTTAACATTCTTTAATATACTCATGAAGACATCAAACTAGACCTTATGTATAGTCTTCCACACACTGGTCTTTTTAGATTACGTTCATGCACCTGAGTGTAGGAATTCTATCCTTGAAACAAAGTAATTCTGTAATCTTATTGAAGTCTTGAATATGCAGTTTGACTTGTGAATGTGCTTTTCTAATTAAATATCTCAGTGGCTTCTTAATTTATAATCCATGTAAACTAATAAAGGGCAAACTAATAAATATTACTTTTTTTTTACTGTCCACTTCTTTTGTTTAAAGGTTGAAATACTAAACATAAACTCTTTGTCAATATTCTCAATTGTTTTGATGAGATCAGCTTTTTTATTTAATACATTGTAATGTTATACTTATTGTTTAAAGAATTCCCAATTGCTGTTCAAGTGATAAGCTCTACAAATTAACATTTTGATTATGTTTTCTTTAAATTTAATTGGGACAAAACTCTATCAATTAAGTATAAGCCAGGAAAAACAGGTTTATGATAAGTAAAAATTTCAAATTAATTTGTGTTATCTTTGATAACTGTATTTAAGAAAGCAGCTTGAATCTTGTTGAGATTTTATGGTAAATTTAATGTTTTTGTGCTTTGTTAAGATAACTTACAAAATTGTGCTGAATTTTCTTACTTCTCAAAAATTATAAGTGTCATATGCATATTTCTGGTATAAGAGTGTTTTAAAACTGTTCAGGAAACTTTTAATCCACTCTTTCTCATAGTGACAAATGAAAATAATATCCATTATAGATGGTAAGTCTTGAACCCATGCTTACACCATCTTTCTGCTAAAACATTTCATTATTTATAATAACATGTGATTCCTTTGTTGCTATTTCTATTTTTTGAGTACTGTGTTCGGTCTTGGGCTTTTTACCTTAGGAAGGACATTGAATTGTTGGAGAGGAGGGTTACTAGAATGATGCCTGGAATGGAGGGTTTGTCATATGAGGAGAGATTAAGGTCTTTAAAATTGTTTTCTCTTGAAAAAAGAAGAGTTAGAGGGGATCTGATTGAGGTATTTAAGATTGTAAAAAAATAGATAGTGTTGATGCATCATATTTTTTTATATTTGATGGTGAAAATAGTAAGACTAAGAGACAAACATAAATTTTGACATGGAAGGAGTCATCTTCAGCTTAGACAGATATATTTTCTAACAGGGTGGTTAACTTTTGGAATGGGTTGCCATCAGATGTGGTAGATGCAGTTAATTTTAGGGAAAGCTTGATAAATATTTAACCTGATGACTACCGGTACTAACTTTCTTAGTAGGCAATGCAAGTGTGCATTTGTGAATTGAAAAAATGATAGAGAACTTATATGGCTTAACCATTGATCTATACAATGACATTATAACCTCTTTAAACTTATACTCAGTATTTCTGTAGATACAACCTAAAATTTGATTTGACCTGCTGCTAGTAACAGCACATTTCTTGGATGGCTTAAGAGATTGATGAACCAAAACATCAAGATTTTTTTCTTTTATAACACTGCTTAGGTTATTCCCATCAAAACTGTACTTAAAATTCAAATTGTGATATCCAACATACATTATCTCATGTTTATTATAATTAAAAGTCATCTGCTATTTGTTTGCCAAATAATCCAAATCCTTTCGTAAAGCAGTAGCATCATCTTCACAGCCAGAAACATTCAAAACTTCAATGTCATTAGCAAATTTAAATAATTTATGGACTATTACTTCATCTGTGTCATTATCATCTATGCTAGTTGTTAATATTTTCATTTAAGAGAGTATTAGTTAATAATGATTCAACATCCAGACTGACCAAATACGATTGGTAATCCACTAATAACTTAGTCCTTAAGGCTTTTGATGTTAATACTAAAATTAAACGGCTGTATAACACCAAAATGTTGTTTTTATTCAATTAGACACTCAATGTTTCACTTTACAGCTTCTTGAGGAGCATTCATTAAAACACAAACCGAGGCATTTGATGTTGTTGTTTCTTTACTTCTTTGGCATTAATTAATTGTTTTCCTTTTTTTCTTTTCATTGTTGAAGAATTTCCAGGTTCTCATGATTTAAACAATTTTTTTTTTTTTGGTGGTGGAGGGTGGTTTGATATTGCTTAAACTGTCTGTGGAATATATTTTTCTCTATATGAAAACACATTTTTTCCCAAACAAAAAGTGGTTTGTAGTACTGGGTGATTAATTTAATTAGTTAATTACCTTTAAGCATCAATTAGTGTCATGTAAAATAATTGATTAATCAAAATTATGACTAAATCAGTTAACTTCACAAAAATAATCAACTAATTGAAATTAGTATTTCTGATTATTACTGTTTTCAATTATTCCAACTGTCCAAGTGGTCAAAATATTGATATTATGATATCTCATTATTATATTTAATGAATTCAAGTTGGTCAACTTAATTGATTAGTGTCATAACTCAAAAATAATCAACTAATTGAAATTAGTATTTCTGATTATTACTGTTTTCAATTATTCCAACTGTCCAAATCTCATTTGTGTGATCAGGTAGTGAGCTCAGTGATTAATTGTTTATCAAATTCTACTAATACCCAGCTCTAGTAGTCTATAACTGAATTTTCTCCTTTTGATCTCCTAATCTTGACTGCAAGGTAGAGCCAGGTAAAACCTAACTTGTTTCATTTCCCTTTTGTGTTATCAGGAACTTCATTGCTCATTCTAATCTTCATTATTTTGGCTAACTCAAGCTATCAATTTCCTACACCTAGGGTTGTTTTATTGACATTTTGACCATTTAATGCTATGGTCAGTATCCCATTGGAGATTTGATTTTTAGTTGGGATATAGACTATTCAGGTCTTGTATCTTTTTATTTTTCTTCTGGGTAGAAGGGGTGACTTGCCATTGCGTATACATTTGCAGTTTGGGTTCAAAAATTTCACTTCACATACAAATATTAATGCCCTGTTTTTCTTACCATTTATATGAGTGACAAACCTAAAATATTGTTCAAGCATCTTGCTGCCTGGTAGGTATTTGTCAAGTGTCTGTTTTAAGTAGTATGTGCTTGTACAATGTTTCTGCTTCTTTCTTTCTCTGACTTTTTTTTTTCCCATTCAGTTTCTTAAGTAGTGAAATATTAGCATAATGTGCTTTGAAGATAAAAGCTATTTTAATGGTACATGTTTTTAAACTAATACTTTCATCGTATCTCTCATCTTCTTTAATTTGTTAGTGTGTCTGATTGAAATTTTGTTGATGCCAATGTAGTCAATTGAATGATGGGGAGTGTATGTTGAGGACACTGGCTGCAAACTAATATCAATGGAAAGATTGTTACAATGCTGATGCCTTGTAGGGTTATTAAAAACTACTTCAGTTGTTTTCATGTTAGAGAGGTATCAAAATATTTTCAGTTTTATACTGAAGTATAAAATTTTAATCTGCTAAGATTAATATAATGCAAGAAGCCAGGACTTGATTGAAATAATTTTATTTCAAAAATGTAGTATTTTCAGAAGACTAAGAAATGTTGTCAGCATTCTAGTATGGTAGTCATAGAAACTATCAATTGTGAAGTAGATAAAAAAGTATGTAAGCAAAACAGCAAGAATATCAGAATTTCTGTCTCCTATTGACAGTATAAAAAAGTTTCAAGAGCATAGATATGAAAGAACTATAAGGAAATACATCATTTCATTTTTGTGCTATTATAGTTTGTACAGTGTGTTTGTATTAAGTACAAGACTGAAGAAGATATATTTGTAAAAGTTTTGAATTTTTATTGCTACGAGTAAAATTTTATATTTATGTGTATATCACAATATATGGTGCTCATTATATTATTATCATAAGATGATGCTCAAACAAGTTCTGTAAAATTATTTTAGCTAATTTTGCACCCTTATGTTTGTGTTATGATTTAAAACAAATGTTTTAAGAGATTTGAAACTTGAATCATAGTTTAAAAACAATATTGAAATATTTTACAAAAATGTTGTTAAACACAATCTGTTAAGAAAACTGCTTATTGAAACCAAAAATAATTGCACAAAATGCTTTAATAAAGTTTAAACATAATCAGTGTTAATTTTTTCTGTTTGATGTGAACATTTTGATAAGTTTTTCACATCATGACACATTTTTTTATAATGTTTCAGGCTTTCCTCATGCTAAGTGGAAAGAAGCTTTTGAGATGGCTGTTAGGAGTCTGACTGAGGTTTTTGTGTTGATGAGAAATAATGCTCTGCAGAGTAGACATATTTTTTCTGAGCAGGTGGAGTACTATTTATTATTATTGTAAAACAACAAGAAATAGTTATAGTTTTTGAACTCTTGTGTATCTAAGTAAATGCCTGTGAACCTTTCCTTCATATTTTACATACAGTCCATGTTTTAACAGATAAAGATAATACATGATTATATAGTAATAAACATTCACTACCCAGGGCCTTGAATTTTATACAACAAAAAGCAAAAAATTATGCAACAAATAATTTGAAATTATGCACTACAAAATTGCTGAAAAAATAAAAATTATACATTTATTATGTGGCGAAATTTAAAATTATGCAACCCTTACTTAAAAACAGCTTAAAACAATAACATCAAAGAGATACTAGACATGATTAATGCAATTCCACAAGCAAAAGCAATTTAAAACTTTTATTGTTTATAAAATAACAAAATGCACTTTTAGGCTTTTAAAGTTTTTTGACAGACCATTAATCATACTGTCTGGATATCAAGCACCAATTGCTAAGCAACAAAAAACAAAGGTATAACAAAGTCAAAAGATAAAAATCTGGTAATACTGACCTACATTTGACTTTACTAAATCTAGAAATTTAATCTTTGACTATGGAATCAACTATTGATAATGTGGTCCTGTGTAAATTATGCAGAAACTGTTTATGACGATATTTTCATGTTAAAATTGAGTTCCTTTCTTACTTTACATAAGAATTTGCAGAGGACATACAGTTCCTTATATGCAGAGGAGTAGAGTCTTACATGCAGTTTAATGTTTTTTATCCTGTTGGCTCTGAGGTTGAGTTTGTGGGAGATCAAGGGTGGACTAGTGAGAATCTAGACTATTTTTCCAACACCTTCCTTTTCTCAGACAGCTACTTACGAACCTCAAATGGACATTCTGCCTCTTGCTCCTTTTTTTTTTTAAACTAGTATGCCATGTTTGTCATGTGTTGAATCTTCACCTTCTTTATTGGGAGAAACTAGTTCATCAAATTACCTGATCCTTCCACCTTTGCCATACATTGCAGTGCATACAAGGAGATTTCAAGATCATTTGAGGGTAAATGTTGCCATGCCTTGTCCTCATCATTTACTGAATCAGTATGCCTTGGCTTTCCATTGACTGGTGAACCCTTATTTGGACTCTCAGATGGTAAGATTATTTACTTCCTATTTGGGGCTCTAGACAAGATGCCACTGTTAATCTTAAACAATCCCAGTTTTCCAGAATTTTTCTGTCACGTACAACAGTTTTCCATTTTTTATCATCTTTGCTACTGTTGTCTGAAGCCTATTATAGATTCCCTTCACAAATTTTGGAGGATCTAATCATTTATCAACTTCCATTTTGATTAGGTTACAGGCTTCTGCTCTCTGCTTGGTATCTTGGTTTGTTTTTGCTGAGATCTTTTGGAGAAAGATGCCTTACTGGAGGGAGTTTGCCATTCTGCATTGGCTCTTAGGGATCTAAAAGAAGCTCCTATCTCAGTTTATTTTGCAGGAATTCCAGAACCCATAGAATCACGAATAGATGGGACCCATCTCCATTCTTCATTTTCTACACTGGCTTCTTGATTGTCCAAAAGTTCTTCTACAGGGCGGTTTACTGCATTTCCTGTTCATGTTTCCTGACTTCCTGCTTCGACACCTTGATCCATTGGAACACAAAGGTGATTTTGACTTTACCAGTGGGGATTGGATTGAATGGGTCTTCATGTTTATGCACTCTCTCAGCTTTGTCTGCTCTCCCAGGTTCAGACACTGATTCACTCCATGTCTGGTCAAGTTCTTCTGCTGGCACTAATTGACTGGGTCAGCCCTGGTTTTCACTCCTACAGTATCTTCAAGAGTGTCCATCTCTTCCCCATCCTCCCTAGCCATCTCTCTTACATCAGCCTCAGTCGGGCATTTTTCATTCAGCAGTCTGCATTATTCAACTTCACCCCTGGCTTTTATGAGGTCCACCGCATGACATCAGGGATTGACATCTCGAATGATGTCCTTATTAACACATTCCATTCGACATTCTGCCTTGAAGTTTATCAAAGGAAATGTTTTATTTATCGTCAGTAGTCTCTCGGACACGAGTGTAACTCTTTGCGTCCCACCATGCAACATGTCTCAACATTTTTGCCATGGTTGCTTAACAAAGGTTTGACACCTTCAGCTGTTGCCCTGTACAAGACAGCCTTATCAGCTCTTTTTAGCTATTCTATGGAAAGAAAAGTTTTGAGCCCCCGATTTGTCATTACTTTTCAATTCATTTTGGGCTGTCCATCCTTGTTGCCCTTTCCAGGATCCAAACTGGATTATCACAGTGTTTCTTCATGCATTATCATGTCCACCTTTTGAACCTTTGGGGTCATGTTCACAATATCATCTTTCACTTAAAACATGTTTTCTTCTGTTATTGGCTAACGGGTTCGAATTTCAGTTGTGTCTGCACTCCATGGATACTGTACTATTCCAAGTATGTTCTGTTGTCCCCCGACAAGGTCTTTTCTACCTAAAATTGCACCAGCTAGGGAAAGAAATAAGGTTTTAATCTTCCCTCCATTTCACATTTATATGACCTTTAAGATCCGGATTTATTAATGCTGCCTTGTTAGGGCTCTCCAATATTATGTGATGTGCACTGAGGGATTTTGGGGCTCACATCACAGGTTAGTTATCCATTAGGATCCTTCAGTTTCATGTGACTTATCCCCTGTCAGTTTAATAAGTTGGATTTGTCATTTGGTTCAAATAGCTTACTCTGGTCTTTCATTGGAAGAGCAGAGACATTTTCAGGTCTCATCTCATCAAGTTTGACATATGTTGATGTCCCTGGCAGCTCGGGTTGTGTTGCCTCCTACCCTTCTTCCCCACATTAGCTGGTGTTCAGGTCTGATAATCTTGCCAGTTTTGAAAAAGTGAATAAGAAAGAATATTGGAGATCTCATATACTGATCGGGTATAGAGAGTATATTGACTTAGGTGAAAAGAGGCACAAGATTATAATCACTAGGGGCAATATAGTGGGGTATAAAGAATGGAGCAAGCAAGATAGATTTCATACCATTGCTTAGACAGGCAAAGAACCTTTCGTCAGGGTAAAGCTAAAGTGTGAGCGGAGATAAGCGTTATTGGAAATACATTTTCAGTATAGGAAAATGTAAACATCTTTTGAATTAACAGCAGAACCAGTTTCTGCACCTTAATAACTTTACTGTTTTAACTATTGGGAGGAACTAAGTTAGCATTATTTCTTCCAAGGTGCATGCTGATATATAATCACTGTGTATTTATTACATTACACACACATAACTTCTATTAGTAATAAGTTTCCTATGTACATTTTGTGCAGTTATCTTGTCTAAGCTTATAATGTAGTAGTTTTTTCTCAACCACTGGTCCACAGACACATCCTCCTTGTTGGTACATGGGATTTAAGAAAACAAAAACTTAGTGGTTAGCAACAGTTTAGGGAGACAATATGCTGATTCCTGATGTTTAAAAGGTTAAGAAACACTGTATTACATTCGATAACGAGGAACCCACTTTGAGACTAATAATGGCTGGAGACGGCTTGAATGGGTAATGAAGAAAACTTTAATATAAGTTTAGCATAACAGTAAATGTACAACGTTTC